ATATATATATATTAAACTTATGTCTCCTACCATAGTGTCAGTGTATTCTTCCAACTTGGCAGAGGGTAAATTCTTGTTGTGCTGCTGGAACAAGTCTTTTAAGAATGTCTAAAAAACACAAAGACAAAAGGGAGGTAAAAAATATTTATTAATCCAGTTTTAGCCATCTGCCTATTTTGCAGGCACAGCACAGGGGAAAAAAAAAAGATTGATGCAATAGGTTCCCTATGCCAGATTGTTTTTGTAAAAAAGTGCTAATATACCAAAATCATCTGTATTGAATTGGGTTGAATGTAATTAGAATGTATCTGGAGTTTATAGGATAAGAGCTATTCATGTTGTTTCTCTGTATAATAGCTTTGGATGACTTTTTGTTGTGGATAGGTCTGTCGCAATAAACAATAAATCAATTAGTCGCATGATAAATTAAAATTATTGACCTAATTTGCATTAATCAGCTTTATCGTTTCTTCATGTCTCTCTCTTTCTACTGAAGACACTGGAAGACAAAAGGCTCAACTCCAGTGCTCTTCACTGACCCCTCCCTTTCTCTTTAAAATCTTTTTTAATCGTCCAAAATTGTGTTTTTGGATCGTTAAAAGCAGCTAAGCTGAGAAGCTAAGCTACGAGCTAAGCTAACAGGTTGACCTCGGGAAAAAACCTCCGTCTTGTAGAAGCTCCAAAATTCAAGGTTGAAACCCGTGTCTTCATCTAAAAAAATTGTTTTTCTTTGCAAAACAAAGCTGAGAACTTGTTTACTGATTTTTTTAATTTTTTTTATTAAAACTTTGTGTGGCTAATGCTATGCTAAAGAGCTCAAACCACACCGAGCGTGTGCCATTTTGAGAACTGAAAAACAGGAACGAGAGACAGCCCATGCCAAGTCAAGGGGTCTCCTTCCCATTTTTCTTAAAGAGACGGTGCTCGCTCCCTCACTATCCATCCTTCAGTTCAAACAGTCTTATACTGACATCCAGTTGTCCAAAAAGGTTCTACACACAAACATTTACCAACATTTCTTCTTAAATTTGACAATAATGACTAATTATTGTCAAATGTCAAACAATATTATCGTTTATTGCAAGAATTTCTGAGACAATTAATTGCCCAGCATAATTTGTTATTAATAAAACTTATTAAAATATAAATTTGTTATCGTGACAGGCCTAATTGTGGATCCCTTCGATGTAAATTGAAATGGACCTTTGTATGTGCTGGAAGACTCACCTTCAGCTCCTGAGCTGATATGTACCCACTGCAGTCAACATCATACTTCTTCCATATCTACAGCAAGTAGAACAGGACACATCAGTTCACAAATGTATAAAAACAACTATATTAATGTTGAAATATAAAATCAATATATCAAACAGAATAACTTTGTATTGTTGATTAAAAAAATCAATGTTTTTGATTGAAATATTACTTCAGATTGAATTTAAAATTGTACTAATTTGACATACAAGTAAGTAAAAGCTGGTAAATAAAAAATAAAAGCAATAATATCACTACATAATATAAAAAGGGGGACAGATGTAAAATAATTACTTAATTACATCAGTTTAAAAAATGCTTGATCACTTTGCTGATATTTCACATCATGCGTGTTTACTTACTGTGGCGACCCCTGAGAAAGGGAGCAGCCGAAAGAAATAAAAACTGCTGATTTTAATATCTTAAAGGTAAGTAAATTACTGACTGAATCCTCTTTCAAAGCTTCCCTCACATTTTATTTTCTACCAGAGTCGACAATGTTAACTAATGAATGGCCAAGCATTTATCAATTTGTCAGGAAAAAAGTTATTTTATATGTGCCATTGTCTAATTATTCATTTAATTTATATGATACAGGATTTTTTTTTTTACAGCCCTCATGTTTATCTTAAAACCATAATCCATCTTTGTTATCAGATTGCTTTCTTATCAGGCTGGCCTCATCTCATTGTTTTTTTTTTTTTTTTACCGACACATTTGTTTGTATTTACCTTCATGAATTCGACGCTGTTGTACAGATGAGCTTCTTTGCGGAAAATTAACAGGAAGTTTTCATCTTCAGGCAGGATCATGTTGGCCAGCTGGAAAACAGTTAGAGAGGAGAAGTCTGATAAAATACACTGTGTTTATAGGTAATTACCTCATGGGCCAAGTTTTGATGCAAAGTCAAAGATTTATGTTAAAACTCAGTTTGGTCTCTTGACCTTAAACCCAAAGTGTCCCATTATGGTTCGATTATTCTCTCTAAAATTAAATTTATACTTTGCTGTAACAAAAGTGAGCTCTACTCTAAAATATTAGTCATCAACTGACAAATCCTGTATTTCTTTTGTTGTCTGATAGTTTACAGGATATTAAAGTGGTTTATATATATATATATATATATATCTTTTGTGGATATTTGAAGCAATTTCCACAAACAAAACCAAACCCATCTGCTGGATGATGAAATAAAACCTAACAGCCTAACAATGAATAGCTCCAGCTGCTCCAGGCTCAGCTGCAGATCACGTTGCTCCTCTTTCGCTGCCCATTTATTTACAATGTCAGCGATGCATTAGCAGATTAAACTGTTCCATATGATTATAATAAAATAATTGCTGTTCTTCACATGAAAAAAAACTCAAGTATGGCTTATAGAACGAGCAGACTGCTACAAATGTGAAGCCAACTGTAAAAAAAAAAAAAAAAACTAAAATATTGCTCTAAGGTTATAATGTGTCAGCAATGATTAAAAAGTTCTTTCTGTCTTTATTTCATGTCTATTTTAATTAATCTTAATGCTGTGTGACTGCTGTTGTATCTTATTTATTGTTGTATTAAATTTTCTGTACAGCAGTTTGGTACTGTGATTTTGTAAAATGGTTTATAAATAAAACTGGACTTGATATACAATATATATTTTTTGCCATTTATTTATAAAGGTAAAACAAGGTGCTGTACAACACAACAAACAAGCAAAGGACACAGGATAATATACATAAACCCACAGAGGTAAAGATAATAAAGATAAAGATAGAAGATTAAAGATAAGATAAAGATAAGTGCGGCCTGAACTAGACAAAAAGGACCTTCTCCTACTCCGCTCCTGTTTCCTGGAATATCTTGCAAAAAGATCTGAAGCTCTCGACCTTGACCTCTAAGTGGCTTTAAACATCTGTTAAGTTCATGGCAAAAACTAATGCAGACATGTTCCTGTTGTTAGTTTTCTACATCGCCTTATAATCCAGCTGTTTTTTGTTCCATTTTTTAAAATTCCATTTTGTTTTCACTTGTTAAAAAAAATCTCAACTTGTATGCATCCTTCATGATTGTCTATTATTTTCTTTGTTGTCCACTGTTGTCATCACTCTGTTGAAATCAGGTCTCTCTTGTAAATGAGTCCCCGAGGCTCAATGGGATTTGCCTGTCTAAATAAAGGTTGAATGAATAATAAACTATAAATGACTAAAATTATACAAACTTAGTAAAGGTAAAATCAGCTCATGCTGGGCTGAAAGCCAGAGAATAAATCAAACAAGTCCATGCTCAATAATCCAGGTATACAATCCAACATTTTTCAGTCAGGTCATCTGGACAGTTTCTTTTTTTTTTCTGAAACGTTTTACCTTCTATCCGGAAGGCTTCATCAGTCAAGGAACCACACAACACAAAGCATGGACTTTTTTGGTTTTGAACCAGTTTGACATGACTGTCGACGAGGAAGAGGGTCGGCTCCAGAGGAGGGGGCGTGCCAAAGACACCATCTTAGCGCCAACATAACTGGTTTGTTCCACTTTGGAATAAACTGCTTGGGGGAAGAATCAGTTTTGTGTTGAGTTTCCTCGACTGATGAAGCCTTCCAGATGGAAGGCGAAATGTTTCAGCACAAAAAAGAAACTGTCCATGACCTTCACTGAAAATTGCCATAGACTAAATGTTTTAAACGAGACTTAAAAACAATAAAAGAGTTGAAAGGGAGAATTTTTGTCAAACACTGAAGGCAACTGATGCATAGTGGTGTTTTTGCCCATCAGCAAATGTGTGTGTGTCTATATTTGAGCTTGTGTGTCTGAATGTTATCAAACTATTTATTAAAACACATGTATTTTAATGAAACTTTCAGAAATAATTTTTGGTGTGCATCTGCAATTGATTTACTTTTGGAGTCTGCCCAATTCAGCATGTTTGCCACAGTCAACAGATATTTGAAAACAGTAAAATGGTTACAACTGTCAGTTTTTCACATATTGAGATAAAACTGAGCACAATCAAAATGGAGAGTCATGCCCAAAACATACTCCAAATGTTAACCCATTGCATAAGAGCTTGTAATATAGAGTGAGTTTGTACACAATATTTTCATTTGATGAAAATGTTCAATGAATGTGTTTTTTTTTTACAAAGAAAAATCATAAACCTCTGACATGAAAGTAAATTAATTTATCTTTTTTAAACAATTGATTAAATATAAAATGTTCAGTTTTTAAAGCAGCTGCACCAAAATAAGTCATCAAATAAACCAATGAAATTGTATTTCCTATTCTTGGTTATTACCTTACAAACAGAATGGTTAAGCAGTTTTTATTGTTTTATTTAACTTCAGTTTTTATCCCAAAAATGCATTATTTAGGTGTTTCATTTTAATTTTAACAATAGTAAGAGAGTGCACTATGTGACCCTAAAAGAAATGATTAAAGAAAGGAAGTTTCTTTTACACACGTGACAGTGCAGCTTTGAACAAGCAGCAAGGCACAAGTCTCTTTACCTCGTAAATTCACCAGAAGAACAAAACTTTAAGCCACGTTAAACACATCATTTTATTTATGCACGATGAATAGTGGCCTGCCTTGTAAAAATAGTACAGTTGCATTTATATATTTTGGTAGGTGAACAGTGTTAAACAGATCAGTCATTTGATGCCGTGTTAGAGCAGAAATGGAACAACCACGCAACTCTAACAGGAACTTGTGGTTTTCTAATGAACTTGCTACGAGCTTGCTGACTTCCCCTTTGGCATCTTTATTATCTCTTGTGCAAAGTCAACGACAAACTGCATTTTAAGAAACAAAATAAAAGCTCTTGTGATTTTAAACATGTTAAGAATAGACATCTAGTTTTAGAAATGACAATGCAGGAACTTTTTAGTTTTTATCAAAAACTCAATTCTCTATTAAATTCAATGGAAAGAGGTGTCAGCATCATTTTTCCTGGAAAGCTGCTGTAATGCATAAATATGAATCGATGTTTCGGCAGACTGAGTGGTAAACAGAAGCTCAACACTAGCTTGAGCTGAACTCTTACAGTAGCTTATATCATTAGCTAGCATAAACATGATGGCCTTTCCACTCCTAAATACTTTTAGAGATAACAGTTACTGCTGTCCACCATTATCTGCAACATTTCAGGACACAGACACTTTGATAAAGGTCATTTTAGAAGTTTGATATTCTCAGACTGCCCTGGGACTGTTTGCATGTTGAAGTCTGATCACATGTGTATGACTATCCAACACATTGTTGTTGCTAATGTTGCTTCATTACAGTAGAATGAGTGCAATGTTCATAGCATAGATCGTTCATGAGGCCCTCGGGATATTTAAAGCAGATATAAATAATAATCAGCTTATAATAAATTAATAAACAAATATTACAATCAGCTAGCTGATCTGTGGAGATTTTCACCAACCGGTCAACACTGTACCTATCAGGCAAAACATGTGTTTAAATAAGTATTCTTTAAAGAATGCATATCATCTGCAAGTTAAAGTTTTAAACAAAGATCCCAGTATGTTAGTGCTCAGTGTTTGCTGGAGATGACTTTCAGCTACTTTAAGAACCAATTTTAGCTCAAAATTAGTAAAATGGACTGAATTATTGCCATTTTTGTGTTTGCCAACGTCAATTAGCTGTAGCTGCTAATTTCAGTCTGGTTGACTAGAAAAGCCAATCGGTTGTAGATGTACAACTGGTGGTCATTTGTTTCATTACAATCTGCCTAGTAAATTATGAAAACAGGCAGACAAACAGAGACAGAGGCAATTATGTGAATATCCGCCTTTCAAGGCAGCAAGCAAGAACCAGTTTGACCAACCTCTTTACAAACACTAACTGTAAGAGGTATTTATTTAGCAGTAAGACCTAATAATGTGAAATTGATTATTCTGCCTATTAGTATTTGATTTAAGTAAATAGTTCCTAAATTGTAGTACTGCCTATTAGTATTTGATTTAAGTAAATAGTTCCTAAATTGTAGTACAAGTACCACTGATGGTACTCAGGACTGCTTTAGGGATTCTCCAGAAGATATGTTAAAATAAACTATTTACAAGTTAAAAGAAGAGATAATCATCTAAACAATGATGTAAAGCTAAAACCCCTAAATAGATGATTGATTCAACCAAATTGAGACCTTGCTCAATAGAAACTATTACCTGTAGCGATATGATATGAGGGAACCAGATCTTGTAGTTCAATTTAAAGAGCAGTTCACTTTTGGAACAGCTATGACCACACCAGCCTACATCATATAAGCTGTATGTGGTGACATATGACGTAAGGCTGTATGTGACTTTTCAAGCGTTCAACGTCCTTCCCCTCCTGAGCCCATTTTTATCAAATACAACAGCACTCCTCCCCTTTGCTTGTTCTCCTTTGTCTCAGTAGAAAAGCAAGTGAGGAACGTGTGTGTCTGCATCTGAAGAGGAAAACACCAGGAAACCACGAAGAAGAAACATACGAAACACGGAACAGCTGTGAGTTGGCTGCAACATGGTTCCCATCGTTCATTTTAAAGAGCCGTTCAAAAGATTTGCATCGTTTGTCAACTTCACATCACTAGAAACTACAAAAAACAAAACTTCAATGGAGCAGATTTTGAGAACTTCTGAGAGAACTAGTGGAGGGTTAGGATTTGGAGTTTATCAAAGTTCATGCTCAATCACCCGGGTACAAATCCAGTAATGCTCAGTCAGGTCATCTGGACAGTTTCTTCTTTGTAGAAAGATGTTTCGTCCTCTATCCAGAGGGCTTCATCAGTCTGAGGAGTCCCAAACGGTTTCTCCGCCAAGCAGTACACTCCTTAAGTGGGGAAACAGTTTGGGACTCCTCAGACTGATGAAGCCCTCTGGATAGAGGACGAAACATCTTTCTACAAAGAAGAAACTGTCCAGATGACCTGACTGAGCATTACTGGATTGGAGTTTAGCCAGTTTTTTGTGTATGCCAGATATGAATTTAGTCAAGTTTTTACTATTGCTTTTAAAAGTCTGTTGCAATAGGTGCTAGTTGGAGAGTTTCATAAATTATGTGGTAAGAACTTGGTATAAAACTGTTGAGAACCACTAATTTAAGCAATTTTGTTGTCTATGTGTCTAGTCAAACAAGGAGACTGAAAATAAAAAAGTTGTGTATTTATTGTTTATTGAAAAAGTTGTTTTAACAACTGTTGGCATTGCTACACTGACCCTGCTGTACTTAGAATGAATGTAAGTGTAGAAGACTGCAAGAAGATTAGGATATGAAACCTAAATAGAAACTTGATCCTTCACTATATTCAGAAATATAGTGTTTTTACAATCAAACTATGCTTTTGTTTGCTTTTTATTAGGCAATGCTTTTGACAGTGTGTGTGTGTGTGTGTGTGTGTGTGTGTGTGTGTGTGCGTGCGTGCGTGCGTGCGTGCGTGCGTGCGTGCGTGCGTGCGTG